CACGGGCAATAGGACAGGTGTAGTGTTGTTAAATAGAAAGTTGGAAATGGTATTATACTTACTCATGCATTATAATTATGTTTAAAAGATCAGAATATTCATAACTTCTCATTTTGTTTCATAAATAGTTCTTTAATATTCGAAACAAATTCCATATCTGCTTCGTCTGCCATCGCCATGTTTACTCGTCCCAATCTACATGCTGCACGGCATTGCCGCCCCTCCTGGCAAAATAATAAGCAAGCGAGAAAAATTAGAAGAAAATAAGAGGGTAGGAACATCATTGTCATAAGCTGGATGCAGTGACACTTCCATATATGGCACAAACGTATCCATAACTTCCATATATGGCACAAACGTATCCACGACGCGTTTTATAACGTTTTATTTGACGTAGGGATGACGTGTAATGCTGCTTCCCGCCTATGACGATTTGAATTAGTCATGTGATACAAGATTGAGAAAGCTGATTCGCCCAGAACGATGACACGCCCACGAAACGCCCACAATGTTCCTACCCTCTTATTTTCTCCTTAATTTTTCTCGCTTGCTTATTATTTTGCCAGGAGGGGCGGCAATGCCGTGCAGCATGTAGATTGGGACGAGTAAACATGGTGATGGCAGACGAAGCAGATATGGAATTTGTTTCGAATATTAAAGAACTATTTATGAAACAAAATAAGAAGTTATGAATATTCTGATCTTCTAAACATAATTATAATACATGGGTAAGTACAATACCATTTCTAACTTTTTATTTAACAACACTACACCTGTCCTATTGCCCGTGGTACCAGGCTGCACTGATGAGGCGTAGGACGCCGAAACATGCATGTCTGCAGATAGTACTGTATATATATATATATATATATATATATATATATATATATATATATATATATATATATATATATATATATATATATATATATATATATATATATATATATATATATATATATATATATAGCTTAAGTTTTTGGTTTACGCAACACAAACAGTGCTCAATACCATATAGGCTAGATAGAGCGTAATATAGTTTTTCGTTTTACCTCAAAAAACCACAACAGTCTGTTTCATCGGTACAGGGACAATTTAATTATATTTAATGGTAATCCCTGACGCGCCTGTTGAAGAGGGAGGAAATTTAGAGCACTTGAAACTATGTAACAGTTAGGGCCAAGATCAAGGTACAGTATTAAACCAAGATAACTTCGATATTTTGAAAGTCTCCATTATCAGTGGTCAAGTGAAGAACTCAGAATTTATCTTCAACATCATTTTGGTGCCCAACGTCTTCTGTTGGAGACATAAAGGCTTTACTCAGCCAACCATTTCGCTTTTTCTGGCTCATGGCGTCCATTACACCCGCAGAGCTCAATATATTCTTTGTATAGAAGTTATCGGGGCGCCATCCTCAAGGCCATTCAGTTTCTTTCACGCTGTGCGGTCGCATTTTTATTTGATTTTTCTTATCCTCATTTATATACCATTACATGTTTATGTTAAAATACAACTATTTCACCCTTCGTGGTGAGTCGAGGCTTCGCCCTCAATATTTGTTGTTATACGGATCGCACTTCGCTGTGTTCCCTGTTGAGGCTTCGCCCTCAAAATTTTTTTGTCAGAGGCTTCGCCCTCATTTAATGCAAATGTTTTACTGCACTGTAAGCCGAGGCTTTGCCCTTTCTTCCATCTGGCGTTTTGGGCAAGTGGTGCGGTCACTGTTTTAGTGTGGCCAAGCTTGATCCAGTCCGCAGTTAAAATTCTCCTATTTGTCGATCGCGTTCTCGTTCCTTGCACAATATCCAGAAATATCCTCATGAGTCCCCCGCACTCATGAAATACGGCGATATTGTGCAGGACCTAGCAAATCGAGGCCATAATCGTCGTTTTTACGATGAAAAATAGATCATTTTTAAAGCATTATTTTGTAAGAACTGCCCACAGGTCATCCATTTTGAACAAGATAGCTAGTAATTTCAAGCAATGTTGTTTTCAATTTGTGCAAATACAACATATTTTTATGAATTCATTTGGATATTCTAAGCCATGTGTCAACTTAGTTCACAAAAAACATGAATACAGCAAAAGAATCATTGTGTAATATGTTAAACTGTCAAAACATAGCAGGCAATATTGCCAATGAACAATATCACATATCTCAAAGGACACTAATGTTATCAGGAGATATTGAATTAAATCCTGGTCCTGTTCAAAACAACAGTTCAACTAGGGTGTCGTCAAATGTAGTCTTACAACAAAGGTCAAGACGGTTTCAGTTAAGACCATTTGATGTCGGTGGTGATGGTGACTGTTTCTTTCGAGCTGTGTCACATCAATTATATGCTGACCCTGAACGACACTTTGAAGTTAGAGCATCTGGTATTGCATATATGAGAGATAATCCTGAGAGATTCATTGAAAGTAATACTGAAATCTCGTGGTTAGAATACCTTAATAATATGTCTATGCAAGGGACATGGGGTGATGCTATGATAATACAAGCTGTGGCTGACCAGCTTAAGTTAAAAATTACTATTGCAGAAACGCATGAAGGGTTTCGTGAGTACAGTATAATACAACCTGTATCATCAACACAGCAACTAACTCATGTCTATTTGGGTCATATAGATGAGTATCACTATGTATCAACATTGCCATGTACTTCAATGTCAGGTTTTGTTGAGATATATCCTGAACAGTCAACCCAGAGCTCTCAGCCTAAGCAAACAAGAACACAGTATATAAACAAATACATGAAACAAAAACACGATAATGAGAGACAAAGCCCTGAGGCTAAGGAAAGGAGAAGAGTTTATGCAAAGGAATATAGGAAACGTAAACGGGCCAGTGAGAGTTCCCAGCCCTCAGCACTGAGCATTGAGACTAAGCAAAAGAAAAGACTGTATGCAAAGGAATATATGAAACGTAAACGGGCCAGTGAGAGTTCCCAGCCCTCAACACTGAGCATCGAGGCTAAGCAAAAGCAAAGACTGTATGCAAAGGAATATAGGAAACAAAAACGTTGTGAGATTGAACCACTACAAAGTTTAATATCCAAATTTCATGATATTGTATCACAAGGTCCTCTTTATACTTGCACCTGTTGTGACCAATTATGGTACAGGCATAGTGTCATTCCAGTCACAACACTTAAAGAAAATTATCCTGATGTTCAAAAAAGATTGTTAAATAGAAAAAGTGTGAATAATGTGGAGTGTTTGTGTAAAACCTGTAATAAGCATTTAAAAAACAACAAGGTGCCTCCTTGTGCTGCCGTAAATGGGCTGCAGTTTCCAGAAAAACCTTTGTTTTTCGATCTAAATGAATTGGAGTGTAGATTGCTTGCTCCAAGACTTGCATTTCAAAAATTAATGCAGGCTTCTAAAAACCTATGGGAACATTGTTAATGTTCCAGCAGATGTTGTTAATACTGTTAACATGTTGCCAAGGTTTCCAAATGACACCAGGACAATTAAAGTTAACCTTAAGAGAAGATTGCAATACAAGAGTTCAGCTTTATCACTAAATGTCAGACCAAATAAAGTAGCAGAAGCTGCCAAATGGCTTGTAAATAATGGTAACCTGTATAAAGATGAAGGTATAACTTTCAATGACACTTGGCTTGAAGATAATTCAAACACTCATATCCTATTTGATGATAGTGACAAAGATCAAACTTCAGAGGGTTTAGAAAATGTTCTGGACTGTAATGCAGAAAGCTTGAATTGTGATACAGAATGTAAAACCCAGCAATCATCAGCATGTGATGATGATGAACACTGGAGTGAAGACGAGGCAGAAATACCTGCTGGAATCACTGACACTTTGTTAACATCTCCAGATTTTGTCACTGATAATGAACGTCAGCATATTTTAAACGTTGCTCCTGGTGAGGGAAATAAGTCCTATGAGTATATTTAGAGATAAAAACTCAGAGGAATTGGCATATCCGGGTATATTTCTTGGACAGAAGCGACCGGACAATGCTCATAGACTAACCAAAGTCCATTATAGTGAAATTTGTAAATCTTAATGAAGAAGGTCTGACCGAAGGGCTGCAATGTGTGTGGAAAATATTTTCTTTAAAACAAAGAAATTGCAAATGAAAATTTTGCTTGGGCAATCACAAGTTGCATTGAGAAAATGTCAACGAAATAGTAACACAATCACTGCCGGTCAATTAAAACAACCGGGTGCATTAGATAACATGATTCATCATGATCAAGGACTTAAATTTCTTAGAGCTGTAAAGGGTTCACCTCCATATTTTGAAAAAGCTGAAAAGGATATATTTGCAATGATCAGGCAGTTAGGATCTGCTTCATTATTTTGTAGTTTTTCTTCAGCAGAAACACAATGGACTCATTTGCTAAAAATACTTGGTAAACTTGTTGATAACAAAACATACACTGACACTGAACTTGAGAACCTCTATTGGGAAGAGAACAGTAGGTTAATTCAGAGCGATCCTGTGACATGTGCAAGGCATTTTGATTATCAAGTACACAAGTTTTTGCAAAACTTTCTTCTAAGTAGTGCTGCACCTCTAGGAAAAATTGCAGACTGTTTCTATAGGGTTGAATATCAACAAAGAGGATCACCTCATATTCACATGTTAAAATTGCTAGAAAATGCTCCTACGTTCGGCGAAGATTCTGATTGTGATGTTGTTTCATTTATTGATACGATAATCACATGTGAGGAGCCAACCGAGAATCCAGATTTACTTGCACTTGTAAACAGGCAAGTTCATCGCCATTCTCACACATGTCGAAAGAAATCCAAAAGTGTGTGTCGTTTTAATTACCCACAGCCACCTATGAGGTCAACCAAAATTCTATATCCAATAGATATTGATATGGATGATAATGAAGTTGATCAACATAAAGATACTTGGAAATTTATAAAGAAACATCTGAATGATATGAAAGAGGGCGAGGACATTACATTTGACAAGTTGCTTATAAATCTTAAACTGACAGAACAAAACTATTTGCTAGCTGTTCAATCTAGTCTCAAGACACCAACTATATTCTTAAAAAGAAAACCAAACGAACTAAGGATCAATAATTATAATGCTGCATGTGGTGCATGGCGTGCAAATATGGATATTCAGTTTGTACTAGATGTATATGCATGTGCAATATACATTGTATCATATATATCCAAGGCTCAAAAAGGCATGAGTGAGCTATTGATAACAGCTTGTGAAGAAGCAAAAAGGGGAAACTCCAGTATTAAACAACAAGTGAGAGATATTGGAAATAAGTTTTTAAACAATGTTGAAATAAGTGGACAAGAAGCAGTCTATATAGTACTTCAACTTCCAATGAGGAAATCTTCTCGTCAAGTAGTATTTATAAATACTTCACCCCCTGAGGATAGAGTTCAGTTACTAAAACTTTTGCAAGAAATTAATGATTTGGAAGATGATTCTGATGAAATTTATGCATCTGGTCTAATGAAGCGTTACACAAAACGACCAGCCAAACTTGAAAATCTGTCCCTTGCTGATTGGGCTGCATGGTACGACTCCACTGATAAGCCATATATCAAACCGTCTCGTGAATTAGATATTGATAATTATCCACTTGAGACAAACTTGAGTGACAATGATGATAATAATGAGGAAGAAGAAAGCGAACGAAAGAATAAAAAAAGATCTAAAGCCAGAGTTATTCGAAGTGTCTGTTTTAACAAGGAAGTTGATTCTGAAAAGCATTACCGTGAACTAATCATGTTATTCACTTCATGGATGGATGAAATAACTGATTTATTAGGAAATTGTGCTTCTTACCAAGAACACTATTTTCAAGTTAAAAATACAATAGATGAGCAAATGAAATGTTATGTTATGCTATGTGTAGTGAAGACCTGAATGCGATTCAAGACCAGCTTAATAATGTGGAACATAGTGATGAAAACTATGACCTGATTGCCCCAGGAACACAAAACATTGAGCGTCAAGATGAAGATGAAGGTGCACAAGACCTTCATCCAGAATTCAATGAAACCTATGACCTATCTGGTTATCTTGGAATTCGTTCAGCTGCATCTAATACTGAGCAGCTGATATTACATGAAGAACAGGATGATGTTTACAGAGGAATGGTACAAAAATTAAACAGAGAACAAAAAGAATTTTTCTTCCATGTTTTACATCTTATTAAAACTTCTGATAATCCATTCTACTGTTTTCTTAGTGGAGGGGCTGGAGTTGGCAAGTCACATCTCACAAAGTGTCTTTATCAAGCAGCGTTAAAGTATTATAATAATAGAGCAGGTGATGATTTCCATCAAGTGAAAATATTAATGCAAGCTTGCACCAACTGGTAAAGCAGCTTACAATATCAAAGGTAACACAATACATAGTGCACTTTCAATACCTGCATGTCAATCTTTAAAGAATTACAAACATCTTGATTCAAGCAGGTTAAATACCTTACGGTGTCAACTTGGTGGTTTAAAACTAATATTTTTGGATGAGATCTCAATGGTTGGTTCAAATAAATAATAGACTGAAAGATATTAAAGGAAGTAAAGAAGATTTTGGTGGTGTAAGCATGGTTGTTATCGGTGATTTATTCAGCTGGAACCTGTAATGGACAGGCATATATTTAATAATCTAGACAATTCAGAATATGCAGTTCTTGCTCCTAATAAATGGCAAGATAACTTCAATATGTTTGAATTGGAAGAAATTATGCGCCAAAGGGAGAGCAAAGTGTTTGCTGAAATATTAAACAGACTTAGGGAAGGAAAACACACTAAGGATGATATTTTGAAACTAAAAGAAAGATTAATAAAAGAAAATAGCATCCAAGATCCCATGGATGTGCCTCACTTGTTCATACAAAATCAGAAGGTAAATGAATTCAATGAAAGAGTGCATAATGCAGCAACTGGTGAAAAGTTTTCAATCAAAGCAATAGACAGTGTTATAGGAGCTAACTCTGCTCAACTTCGAGATAAAATTTTGAGTCAAATACCAAATGATCCTAGGACAACTAAGCAAGTTGCTTCAAACCTTCAATTGTCAGTGAGTGAAAGAACTGAGATAGCATTAAATGTACGTACTGATGATGGCATGACTAATAGTGCTGGTAATGTTGTTAAAAAGATACAATTGCATCAAATAGATAAACCTCCTGGTATAATATGAGTCCAATTAATTTGACCATTCAGATGTTGGAGAGAAGACCAGACATGAAAATAGACATCTTTATGTCCAAGGTATTGAGTCTACATGGACTCCAATAAGGCCAATCACAACTCAGTTTGCTGTGGGTAGAAACCAAACTGCACAAGTTGTTAGAAAACAGTTTCCAGTTAGACCTGCTGCGGCTAAGACAATTCACCGTTCACAAGGTGACACTGAACAAAAAATTGTTGTAAATCTCAACACTAGAAGATCAATACCACATATACATTATGTTGGTTTGAGCAGGGTAACAGCAATTGAAGGTTTATTTATCACTGGCCTATGTGAAGATAAAATAGCTGTCAATCCGCATGTATCAGCTGAAATGGAACATTTGAGAAATGAACGTGTACTAAAACTTAGTGTCACTCCTATTTATAAGACAGACCAAGTCTCATTCAAACTGTGCTATCTAAATGCACGGTCGTTGCATAAACACATTGATGATATTCGGCATGATTTTAATTTTGCTAATACAGACATCAATATTTTTTCTGAAACTCGATGTATGCACTCGGATAATGCCAGTATGTATGATATTGATGGTTGCACCTTGTTCAGAAATGATGGTCACTCTTTGACTACCAGACCCTTTGGTGGCATGGCAGTGTTTAGCAGAGTTGAATTATTACCTGGATATCCATGTTGTTATAATATCAATGGCATTTAAATAACCATTATGAAAGCAATGATTCTTCCACATGTTACTATAATTGGTATATATCGATCACCCCGAATTCCAGTGCAACAATTGTGTGCAGCATTAGATGAAGTTTTGAGGTTTTGTACTTCTCAATTTAACATTTTCATAGGTGATTTTAATATCAATTGGTTGGATGAAGCCAATAGAAGGCCTTTAGATAGATTTTTTATCAATGATCATAACTATATGCAATTGGTGTCTAATGTCACGACAGACAATCGGACATTAATAGATCATATTTATACAAATCTACTACCAGAGTTGCAAGTTAGTTCACACATTTTAGAAACTTATTTCTCAGATCATAAAGCAGTTTGTGCCTTAATTAATTGTTTTCATTAAACCAAACTTAGAAATGTTATGATAGAAATATTTTTATATTGAGACAAGAGTCACTGGACACAATTCACTTAAATACTTACATTTTGGTTTTATACACATTAGATGTGTATAAAAATGTACTGGATATATTTGTTGGATAATTCCATCAGAACAACCCACTTGCAAGACAATCTCAGCCAAATTCATTAGTATTATATGCCTATATGAAAATAACTTAACAACTACAATAATCATATGGATGGATCTGATCAAGGGCATACAATGTACAAAACCAAACTTGTACTTAAACAGATTTTCTCCCAAAACACAAATTGCTTTTGTGTGGATATGCTGTGTTAAAATTATACTGAACAGTGTGCTATATCATTGACTGTGCACAGGACTGGAATGGAATTATACACTTCATTTGTGACCTTCAAAACATTCTCTACTGATCAGTGGTCTTCCATGTTCCTTAAACAGTTTGTGTTTGTTACTCAACAGTTAATATTGGCAAGTGTAATTAACAAGTGACAGAACTTTTGCTTCATATGATTACAATAAAGTTTTGGAAATTCTATGGATTGACAAGTGACAACATCTCTATCCTGACTATATGGCATCTAAAATGTGTTGTATATTGAAATCATATGGATAATAAAGAAGATTGTCAAGCTATTTCTGTGACATCACAACTTAGTTGACCTAAGGAAATCTTTGTTACAGTTATGGAAACATCACTGCAAGTGGAATTTATAGCAGCTGTTTTATTCACTATGAAAACCAGATCAATACTCACACAGATTCAACACTAGAATCTAACATTAATTAAACATTTATTTTCAATTGAAAACCTTCAGATACTGTACAGTCTATAATATATACTATATTATATATAAAATATACTCGTGATATAAATTAAAAAATATTTTATTTTATGCTAGTGTAATATTGTGTGCATGAAATGTTTATTTCCTGACTGCATAATTAGTTACATTTCCTCGGCGGGGTGGGAGCAGTTGCCCCTGCTTGTTTGACTTTAAAATCTTATTTGCTATTATAATTATAATAAGTGATGAAATATTTCAATTGCCCCATGTCATCTTAATTATTCAGTTCCTTTCAAGAAAATACGTACAAAATGTGAATCCAGTTTTTCGCAGATACATGTACGCCTAGCGTACCTATTTTTTGCTTAGCTTGAAGATATGACTTTTATTTTCTCGTGTTAAAAACAATATTTTACTCACTCGCTGCGCTAAACGTAAAATATTGTTTTCACCACTCCAAGATAAAAGTCATATCTTCGCGCCGCCGTGTAATATCCTCCATAGAATAATTCACGACGTGAAAATGGCGACAAAATGGCGTGGCATATCCATATACATGGGGGCACAACAGCCATTTCACGTCGTTTTTGACGTCCGTGTCTTCGATCGAAATCTGTCTTACATATCTTGTAAAACACCGCTTCAAATTAATTATCCTCTTTGCAATTATGACGTCATAAGTCGTGGGAAGGTTTTGTCCACTGAGCTATAATATTACTGGAGGAGGTGCTCCTATCTTTCCGCCAGTCATTCAAGTGAAGCCAAAAACATGGCGGATCTTACGCCATTTCCATGACTACTGGTTATTATTTCTCATGGTAATTATCACTGACCAACCGCGATCCTACGCTTTAAACAATATCTTTCACCCCCCTGGTTTTTTCACAAATATAAAATATTTTGGTTTAGTTTGTCTTTGAACTGAAAATCTTAATATTTTTCATCAATTTTGTCTGTTTTACAAAGTCAGGGAAGACGGTGCATTTTTGCTGTGCCTCTTATGGCTCTAAAAGGAGAATATTACGGGTAAGATTGACGTTTTTTTACTTTCGCTTGGCAACGTTGCCATATATTTTTAACACTCGTGGATATCTTAAAACCTGATGCTATATTAAAACTGCGAGTATTACTAGTTACAGCAGTTCTTTCATTTCTACATTGACATTGTAGTTTTGAGCAAGGTTTCCTTCGCAAACTCTTTCCTATCTTGTTTTATTAAACTCATTTCTTGGGTTTCATGGTGCTTCGGTTTGTGTTTTGTTTTTAAAACTGTTTATATTTGATTTAGGTTTTTAAGTGCTAGTTTTGCCAGGTTTTTGAAATAGCAGCTATCTACTGTGTAGCTTTGTATTTTATACAGGACATGTAGGGTGTGAGTGCACAGCCAACCTTTCCAGCACTCTCCAAAAGTTCAGCAATATAAACATATTATTTAACCCATTGAGGGTCAGAACGTTTAACTATAGACACATGAGCAGACAGCCTGATTAATCCATTGAGGGCCAGCACTCTCCCCCTGATGAGTAAAATAACCTGACGTTTGACAGAGTGAAATAATAAAGTAGGGTAGATCAGGACACAATGCGACTTACTGGGTTAAACCTAATTTTTATGATTTGTAGCACTACCCGCATTGTATTATTAACCTTTTAAGTGGCAATGTACCCAGATGCACCCTACATTATTATTTTACTCTGTCTAACGCTGGACAATTTTACTCGTCACAGGGAAGGTGCTGCCACTAAACATATTTAGGTTAATATCGATTTAGCTGGAATGACCCAATACATGCCATTTGCTACTGTAAAATTGTAAATATGCCGAATTTTTCTTATTTATAGGCGCTGATACTGAAATGTGAAAAAGAAAGCCATAAAGTCTTAAATGTTCAAATAGCAAGAGTGGTGTTGTAGACATCAGACATGTAGTGGTGCACCATATGTTAAAATTAAATATTGTCCAACTTACAAAAGTAAGGGCCCTGCCCAGAATTCCTGCCCTGAACTAGAAAGATAACTTCATTTTATCATTGCTATCAGACTGTGATAAACAGAGAATCATGTTATTGTCAGTGGTGTTTTTAAATACAACATGACTGCTTACAGTTATAATTATAACTTGTATGGTCGTATATATAGTTTGTAAAACTCTTTCTTGCTGATTTATAATTATTATTTTAAGAAGGTATAAACAAAATAGTGAAAACCCCTGGGGGTAATGTAGGGTAAAGGAGGGAGGGTATCTATTTATCTGTGAATTAATGATAATTTATTTCAAGCACACAGGGCTGGATGGACTGGGGGGTCTAACATCCCCGGGTCCAATCTTTTGAAATGTGTCCCCCAATTTTTGGAGGGCCACTGGTTTGTCACTTTTTACTGTTATGTGTCCACCCTCCATAAATAAAGAAGTTGATATAAATATTAATAAAATGCCCAAATGCTGGAATTGCCAAACATATGAATTTTTTGGGAATGTTGTGCAAAATTGAGGCCAATTTTATAAATGTTACGCTGAAAAAATTTTAATTAACCTTTTTGCAAACAACGGTTTGGGAAAAGAAACAATTACCCCCCGCCAAAATTCTGCGAATAATTTTGGGGACCCAAAAAGCGAAGGGGCCCAAAGTTCTGTATTCACCCTCCCAAAGATGTGTCAGTTGGCATGGCCCTGCAAGCACAATACAATTGTGATTTGTGTGAGCCAGAAAAGAAATAAATCTCACCAAAACATGTCTTTTTGTGTGATAAATGATGTCTTAATTATAAAGAATGTTTAATAGAGAGGGGGCTCAACAATTTTTTCATCTAAATTGGGGGGGTGGGGTATTAGAGTGGGGGGGGGGTGAGGTTTAACAGGGAGATTACAGTAGCAAACTCAAAGCTTTATTGCAGGTTTTGAGGTATGATGCAACTACCTGGATTTAAGTAAGTCTTTGTTCAAAACGTACAAATTGATTCTCATTTAAATAACTTTGTGTTTTTAATTTAAATCAAGGATCACACAAGAGGTTTTTGATAATACTTTTATTTTAGCTACGTTTCCGATAGTTTACTATCCGTCCTCAGGCTAACAAATTGTTCTTACATTTGACGTGTACAACTTTTAAACGTTCATCTTACGCAAGCTAATTCAAATTAAACTGCGTGCGCGCACGCGCGCGCTCGTTTTCCTTAATAAAGTATTTGTTTAATATTGGTCTCCAAGTCATCAATGATCCAAAACTGTTTAAAACTTTCTTTTTGTTATGCCTTACCCTAAGAGACTCAATTCCTTCTATAACTTTCCGCTGTCTTAATCTATACTCATTTCTCAATATTCGCGTGTTTTCCCAGTCTATTTCTTCCGTACACTCTATACTGTGCCTTGCTAAACCTCCGTATTCTTTCCCCATTCGTTCTTCTGCCACCGCCATTCGTCCATTTCTCATATCCTTGTTTGTTAATCTTACTTTGCTCTCGTGTTCCTTCTTTCTCACCTTAAACAACCTCGACGTTTCTCCTACATACACCGCTTTCTTGCATTTGCATGGGATCTCGTAAACAACAGATTTTTGTTTTTCGCGAAGTGGTTGTTGAGCTCTCGCCTTCAATTCCTTTATTTTATTTCCTGGTTTAAATGTCGTCCGAAATGAATGTTTGGAAGCTAATCT